TGAGCCATTCGTATCTAGGGAGAAGCCTTACGGGGCGGAGTTTTGGCCGTTTGGGGCCGGTTGAGTGGGCTGGGAAGAAGTTCCCGCATCACCATTTCGCGAAGTCTGGAGCCCTTGCTCCAGGCTCGTGAGTCGCTGAAGCAGTTGTGCGAGGACGACGGAGGGAATCGTCGTCGTTTCCTCGTTTGTCGCAGCCGGGTTGGGCTGCGTTTCAGCCGTCAGATTCGTCTGACCTCCAGATCCTCCGGCCGTTCTTACACGTGATCGTGTGCCGGACTGTCAGTAGATCTGCTCTGTGGATGCCCGATTCATCCTGGAGAGGGTTACAGGCGCGTTCGCCTGGGGGGTTATGGGTTCACTGAACCGCTACTGAAACAAGCCTTTTTATCCCAATGGTCCAGTGGTTGGGATTCTGACACGGACACCACTTTCCGAATGTCGCAGATTTCGGAGATGGCGGTGCGAAGGATTCCTGAGTCGCTCTCATACCATGCTACGATCAGAAGTTGATCGTGGCCTAGGATCTACTCAGGAAGATTCGCCCACAGAGAAGTGATGTTGGTGGGCCCTTGACCTCAATAGCAGAGTGAATGTAAATGCTTGAGATGATTAAAACATGCAAGTACAGCAAATATAAAAATGAGTACAGCGAAGATGAAACGACCTAGCTAGCCATGTACTCTAAGGGGTACATTCCCTTATTCAAATACATTCCCAACCGTGCAATGCGAACAGTTACGGTACGAAACTGTTCTCGCCGAAACCATCCTGCCTGCAGCTGCCTGATGCTGTCTGTTCCGACGGTTCAGATGCGTCCCAGCTGTCTGATGCTTCGAGTCATTTCCAACCGTCTGACGCTTCACGTTCATTCGCGATACTGCATGCTTCTCTTTGCTGCGGTGAGGAGTGCATAGTAACATTCAAGTATTACTATTCGTAACAAGTGTAATACACATGGTTTTGCAGCTTTTTGAGGGCCTTGACGGGGCACTAGAAGAAGGCTTTGGGGGCACGAGGGCAGCCATGCGGGCTTACAGGGGGTATTACCGTCACCCCCCGGATATACCCCCATGGGGGGCTATAATATAACATGTTTTTTTGAGGGGGTGGGCTTATAATATAGTAAATTTATAAGCGCCGGCGTTTATAATTTGTCAAAATTGAAATTTGTTTTTTAATATACCAAATCGAAGCATTCTCAAACGCGGATTCACCTGGGTCGAGAACGTTCGAAACTGTGCATGCATTGCGTGTGAAACAGCCAACAAGGCGTGGCTTCACGCCTTCCACGCCTTGTTGGCCAGGCCAGGTTCATCGAACGTGAACCTGGCCCATGCCAGTGCACACGTACCTCGCATCACAGCGGCCCAATCAGGGTTGCATGCGATCGTGGGCACGTCGTGGTTCAGCCACGGTGTGCCCATCAACAGCAAAATTCCCCGCCACCGAGGCAAGGAGCTGCCCAGCTCAGCTCCTCTGCGGGGAATCTTGACTGGGGCCACCCTTTTCCCGCAGAGGAGGCCGGGCCGCGAAAATGAAGGGGTCTCGGGCGAGGGCTTCATACAGCCCTCATTCTCGACTTTTGCCTTCAGTTTCTTTGTTCGTTTGGCCTGCCGTGGCCATGGCGGGCCTTCCAGGCACGCATTTCTTGTTCCGCCGCCATCCTGCTGCCAGAGAAAACACCCGCCGAGACACCTGTGACTACTCTCAATGGCAGTCGCGCCCTGCGCCCGTCCCTCCGTGTCAACCAGTAGCTCCTCCCGTTCCTCCCACTCCCCCAACTCCTCCTGCACCTCCCGCTCCCCCGGCGCCTCCGGTTCCTCCAGCTCCTCCGTCCCCTCCTGACCCGCCTGTGTTTTGTGCTCCACGTCAGGGGGTCCTGCAGCTTCTCCTCCCTCCTGGCTACTCGGCGTTTGACGCGTACCTGTCCGAGCCCGACCGCGCCGGTGGCGCATCGTCTTCCTCCGCACCGTCGCCACGCTGGGGAGCCCCGGCTGATTGCCCGTTGGACGAATCCGCGACTGGTGCGGAGGATGACGTGGAGTTTTGGGCTGCCGACGGTCTTCCAGAGCACCTGCCTATTCCCACCTTCCCCCCCCCCAATAAGAAACGGCCCCACCCTTCTCGCGAGAATCGCGATGCCCGTCCTCCCTCCCCCAGGCACAAGCCTTCAAGTCACAAGCGGCACTCTTACACATCGCAGGAGAAACTGCAGTGGATTCTCAAGCTTGAGTCCGGGCACATGAGCGTGCGGCAGATGTCTCGCCAAACCGGCATCTCCCGAAGGTCACTCGCAGAGGAAGACCCGGAAGGCTGACCTGGAGGGCGCGCATGCTGCTCGCAAGCGTCTTCATGGGCGCGGAAGGAGCTCGTGGTATCGCGACATGGAAGCTGAAGTCTACAGGAGGTTTCTTGCCCACCGTAAAAAATGTCTCGCGGTCTCGATTGCTCGCCTACAGAAGTGGTCGCATGAGGTGATGAAAGAATTGCACCCACAGGTAAAGTGGTCCGGCTCGCAGCGGTGGACTGAGCGGTTTCGCCGCCGTTGGAATCTGACAACCCGAGCGAAGACCAGGGTCGGCCAGAAGCTTGCTGCCAGTGAGTTTTGTGGGAAATGGTTGCAGTTTAATGTGTACTGCTTTGTGTTGTTTGTCTCTTTATGTTTCACGGTTGAATTTTAACGCGTCATTAATACTCTCTTCTCTCTTTCCCTCCCACCCGTACTCCCAGACTGCGAGACTGACGTCAGGAATTTCTGGAAGTTCGTGCGTCACACCCGCCGCCAATACAAGATTGACCCGCAGTGGATAATAAACGCGGACCAGACACCACTGTGGCTCGAGATGCCTGCCGAACGCACAGTCGAGGAGGTGGGTCTGCGCTCTGTGCCTATCCGCAGCGGCGGCTATCAGAAGGAGCGAGTTACGGTGATGCTCGCCTGCACTGCCAGCGGTGAGAAGCTGAAGCCGTGGGTCTTCTTCAAACGGAAGACCCTGCCTAAAGGGGATTTCCCTTCAGGTGAGCATTAACACCCACTGCTGCATGTTTTTTTTTTTTCTATGTCTACTGATGTTGTACGTGCGTTTATGGCTGTGCAGATGTTACGGTGTCCGTCCATCCCAACGGTTGGATGGACGCGGACGGAGTCATCGAGTGGCTCGACGGGGCAGTGAAGCCGTTCGTCCACCCCAAGTTCGGAGTGAGGCCCCGCAAAGCGATGCTCGTCTTGGATTCGTACCGCGGGCACCTGACTGCGGAGGTGAAGAAGAAGTTCGGGGAGCTGAACATCGTCCCTGCCGTTATCCCAGCTGGCTGCACCTCGGAGATTCAACCTCTGGACGTCGCGGTGAATCGCTCCTTCAAGGCATCCGTTCGCCAGCTCTACCAGGAGTGGTTCGAGAGCGAGGGGGTCGACACCTTGACAAAGAAAGGTGAGAGAGGCAGGCCATGCGTGTGCTGCTTTAACAGTTTGTAGCGGTGGCTGACTTTTGATTGTTTAAATTTTATGGCAGGCAACATCAAGAAGCCACCACCCGAGCTAACGCTCAAGTGGATATCAGCGGCTTGGAAGGCCGTGCCCAGGGACTTGATTCAACGGGCTTTCCTCACCTGTGGCATTAGTAACGCCCTGGATGGGTCCCAGGACAAGATGTGCCTGCAACACAGGCGCGACGAGCTTGAGGGCGACGAAATAGACATCGACGACGACATTGCAGCAGATGGCTTTTTCTGCAACAACGTAGAAGAACCAGAGTCGGACTCTGAGGCCGACCCGGATGATCCTACCGCAGCTGATGACTAGATTACGTAGATCTAGAAATTGTTGTAGCCTGTGAGACTCGTAGGTAGATTTAGAACTGTAATTAGAAAAAACTTTAGACAAATTGACTTTGTAATTAATTAGATGAAAATATACAATGTTAATGTGGTTAGTGAAGCGTGTAGAATTTTTTTTTTTAAAAAAAGTGGCAGTTATAATGTGTAAGGTACAGGTATGCGGCTATAATCCGTACGACTTTAGGGTATGCGCTTATAATCGAGGAGGGGATATAAGCGCCATATGCCAATTAGAAGCGCCAGGCGCTTATCCTAGGGTGGCGCTTATATCCGGGGGGTGACGGTATTAGCATCCCACATCCTCTATAGGAAAACCCAACCTAGCCTAGTACACATGCAAACATATTTACGGTGTAATCAGCAATTATTTCACCAAGAACACGAGGTGCCATTTATTCAGCTACTCACATGTACTATTCGTTATACAAATTTTCATCAACGCAACAAGATGAACACAACATTAACACATTACCCCATACCTTTTTGCTTACTTGCATATTTTAAGCCTTTATCTCGCTGCAAATCATCCTAAGCTTGGCGGCAATGACTGACATTGGAGGCCTTTGCTCCCAATTGCAGCAAATTGCAAAGCGCACCAGAGTAAAAATAATAAAAGCATGCCTCCTCATCCACTCCCCCTCAAGAGAAGAATCAATAACCAAGGAAGGCTCAGGCGGATCCTTTGAGATCACCAGCTGCCTCAGATCTTGATGTTTTGCACTGAGGGGACTGCAGCTTGAAATCAGCTCCAATAGAAACACGCCATATGCGAACGTGTCAGATTTTTGGCATAGTTGGCCCGTCTGGAGATAGATCGGGTCGATGTAGCCCATCGAGCCAACCACTTTTGTTGACACGTGTGTTTTCCAGTCCTCTATTGTGCGAGCCAATCCAAAGTCAGCCACCACAGGAGTGAAATCCTGCAAGTCACGCAAGTACAAAAGAAAGGGAGACATGAAGATAAGTTAACAGATATGTAGGTGGACTTGGGAAGCAAGCAGTGCTATGGAGCAGAAAAATGGACAGCACAGCAGAACAGGAAACCGAACGTACAGAAAACACATAAGGGATATAGTTGCGTACCTCTCGCAGAAGCACATTCGACGACTTGAAATCGCGGTGAACGAACTTGTGCTCGTGAATGGCGGCTAGCGCCTCGGCACAGCCCAGTGCCACCTTCATGCGATGCCTCCATGGGAAGTAAAGACCACTTCTGTGGACTGAATGGGGGCAGGAGAGAGGGGAGGGGAGGGGAGAGGGGGAATTAGAGGCATCTCAAAAGACTCCTCAAAAGCACCTCCATGTGATGCCTCCATGGGAAGTGATTATATTCTTTTTGGACTGAATGGGGGTAGTAGAGGGGGGGGCCGAGGGAGAGGGGAGGTGGGTGGGAGGGAGAAGTGGGGTTTTGAGGCGGTTCGAAAAAGCACCCTAGTGCATGCGATTCCTCCATTGGAAGTGAACATAAGCTTACTGGACTGAATGGGGAACGAGTGAGAGGGGAGGGGAGGGGGGACGAAGGAGAGAGGGGGATTAGAGGCAAAACATGGGAGGGAGGAATAAAAATGCGAGAGAGGACATGGAAGAGAGAAGACAAATTAGGGTGGAGAGGGGTGGGGAGTTGAAGGTAAGGGAGTGTAAGGTAAATAGGCACACCTTGTTTGAGCAAGTTCTTGACATCGCCTCCAGGTATCAGCTCATACACAAGCTTTGACTGCACATTGTCCCCTCCCTCACTCCCCCAAGCCATTGAACAACGTGAGAGGAAAATTATCTCACCTTGTTTGAGCAAGTTCTTAACATCGCCTCCAGGGATGAGCTCATACACGAGCATCGGCCCCTGGGATGTGTTTAGTGCCACGCCTTCCAGCCTCAGAATGTTGGGATGATTCACCGCTGACATGGCTTCCACCTCAGCCTGAAATCACGGAACAGATAAGAGGGAGAGTTGATTGGCTGGTAAGCAAGGAGTGGATGGATGGAAGGATGAATGAAATGCCTTGAGAGCGTTGAGAGCGTTGAGAGCATTGAGAGCATTGAGAGCATTGAGAGCATTGAGAGCATTGAGAGCATTGAGAGCATTGAGAGCGTTGAGAGCATTGAGAGCATTGAGAGCATTGAGAGCATTGAGAGCATTGAGAGCATTGAGAGCATTGAGAGCATTGAGAGCATTGAGAGCATTGAGAGCATTGAGAGCATTGAGAGCATTGAGAGCATTGAGAGCATTGAGAGCATTGAGAGCATTGAGAGCATTGAGAGCATTGAGAGCATTGAGAGCATTGAGAGCATTGAGAGCATTGAGAGCATTGAGAGCGTTGAGAGCTAGCACAGATGGCTGATGTCTGCTTTGCTTTGGTGAGAACTCCCACAAGTGATTTGCTTATTCGCTCACCTTGAAGCTCGTCAAGTCACGAGTAGCACTCTTTCCATTCATCACTTTCACTGCCACGTCACATTCCCTCATTGCGCCCATAACAGCTCTGCTGCTTCCGCCCATGGCGTAACTCCCGCCAGCGGCGCTGCTTCCGCCAATGCCGCTGCTAGTGCCCGCAGGCAGCACCATCCGCCCTTGGTACACCTTTCCGAACCCCCCCTCCCCTATGGCGCGCGAAAACCCCCCCGTCGCCATGTGCAGATCCGCGAAGCTGAACTCGCGGAGCACAGGGACGGCGGAGGGGGAAGCGGAGGAGTTCCCCCCGCGAGAGGACCCCGCGGAGCTGCCCGCGGACTGGCTGGCGGAAGACCCCGCGGAGCTGCCCGCGGACTGGCTGGCGGAAGACCCCGCGGAGCTGCCCGCGGACTGGCTGGCGGAAGACCCCGCGGAGCTGCCCGCGGACTGGCTAGCGGAAGACCCCGCGGAGCTGCCCGCGGACTGGTTGGCGGAAGACACCGCGGAAATTATGGCGGGGGGAAGCGGTTCCGCTGATGAAGTAGTGGTGGAAGCGGAAGCATGATATGCGGAGTCGTAGAAGGCATTTGCGCGAAGACTGGGGCTGGCGGAAGGGGAGGCGGCGGAGCCATTATTAGGGTTGGCGGAAGGGGACGGGGGGAAGGAGGAGGCGGGGGGTGGAGTGGCTCTGCTTCCGGGGAACTGAGCAGGCGGGGGGGAGGGGCTGACGGGTACGACGGCGGAAAAATGGTAGGGGGACGCTCCGCGGATAGGCGCGGAATGGCATTGGCGGTAGGGCGACACGGGGGACGGCGTATACTGCGGAATGGTAGCCGCGGGGAACTGGTGCGCGCCAGTGGTTGCGGGAGGTTGAGCGGAATTGCCTGCGCGGGGCAATGGGGGAATGGGGAACCGGTAGGTCAGTGAGTCTGAACTTTCGAGGCGCCTCAAGAGGGTCAAAGAGGTCAAGGGGTCAAAGGGGTCAAAGCAGTCAAAGAGGTCAGAGAGGTCAAAGAGGTCAACGGGGTCAGAAATGAGGTGGAAAGGCAGTGGAATCCACTGTCGAGGGGCAGCTTGCAGACGAAAAGATTAGCAAAACGGAGGGGAAAAATATTTTAGGTCGAAGAATTCAATCTTCAGGGGAACATTCATTTTGTGGCACGAACGATAAACAGGCTGACGGGGAACTTAGTGCTTTTGCTGACATGGATTTGCTACTCACCGCCCGCATTAGTCACTTTCACCGGCGCCGCATACCCGTCGTCGTTAGAAAAACCGCTGCTACAGAAGTTGCCCATGAATGCGGTGTAGAAATCTCCGCGAGTTAATAAACGAGCGTTAGCGAGGTGTTGGCGAGTTGATCCGTGGGACGTGGCTGAAAGTGGAGATTCCGAGAAGGCCGATAATAATGATATTCGGAGGCTGCGGAAAGAAAAAGGTGCGGCTGCGATGCGAAATCAGAGTCGACACGAAAATATGTGGCTGCGACGACCGTGTTTGGTAATATCCGAGGCAGCGAGGAGTTGCCGGGCGCTGAATAGACTACTACTATACACCAAGAAGTTTTTTGCGATTTCTAGAATATACGAAAATATCTGAGAGGTGCAGCAAGGAGTTCCAGACACTACTAAACGCTCACTGTGGACTGATAGCGAGAAGTGTGAGAATACATGCTGGAGGAGATACGAGAGGTGGAGTGGATGATGGCTGACAGAAATTGAGCCTCGAAGAAATATGATTGCGGGTGCTCAAGCGCGGATGCAAATTAAGGAGGGTGCGGATGGGTGCGAATGGGCGCGAGAGTTGGACAGGTTGGTGAGGCGAGGTTGACACGGAAGGTGTCAAGGAAGGTGGCTTGGTGGCTTGGATTGTGTGTGACGAAACTTCAGGGGTGAGAAAGTGTGTGGGCAGCATTTTTGCCGTTGATTGAGACCTCTAGGGCTAGCATCCGCCGTCCAGTGAGAAAAGGGAAATATTTTCGGAGAATGGTTGGTTGGCCTTGCTTTGTGGGACAGGTGCATCCCTTCCCTTGGCGTGCACGGGACTGGAAGGGACAGGACGGGACGGGTCGCACAGCAGCAAGACAGGAAGGAAAGGGAGGACGTTTGAAAACATGAGAAGTTGGTTAGGGGGGTCCAGCTCGTACATTTACTGTTCGTAAACCCCCTCAGTCACCACATTTTTTGTGGTAACCCTTTACTGAACGTGTCCAGCGGACACAATCAGCTTCTGTTCGCAAGACGGCACGCCCCATGCACGTACCTAGAGTCGTCTGACTCACGTTACTGGAATCAGCAGAGACGCGAACAAGGGTACAGCACCGCGTCCTGGCCACTACAGTTCGTTTCCCTTGTATCGCTTGCACGATTTCGTCAGTGGTTCGCTCTACTCGCCAGCGCCCCCTGCGCCTGCACAAAAATTTTCAAGCTATGATTGACGAGGGAAACTGTTACCTCGTTTTCAACGTGGTCAGAGCACTGTTGATTCGTGTGGCGGGGAATGTGTCCGCGCTTCTGAAATTACAGGATGGTTGGACTCCACTCACAATGCATTCGTTTCTAGGTACAGTAGTCATTTTTTAACCTCGATACGTGCGTTGGCACGAAAAATACCGAAATGAACGAACTGGACACGCCCTTAGCACCGAAGTGGGCAGGCCCGCAGGAAGCGAGGTGGCCTATATCGGAGCACATTCGTCAACTGAACATGTCCAGTTTCGGACTGCTCTGAAGTGAGTTTCGGACTGCTCTGAAGTGAGTTTCGGACTGACCACGACGACGCTGTTGACCTTGTTGATGACAGAGGGAGCACATCAAGTCAACATGGGTGATGTTACAGAATGAAAGCGGGGAATCAATATTTAGAAACCTACCATAAGATGCACATTTGGCCCTTTCAAATATTCCAATGATTTCCCCGTGAGCTTTTTAAAGTTGTTGGGTAACAGCAGTATGTGTGCACCATGCGTTAGTATATCGAAAGGCATGGTTATGAAATGTACTCCTCGCTAATAAAGGCACCGCGGAGGATAAAATGGATGATGCAAACATCTCATTTAGTAGGTAGGAAAGTATCATGCACAAGGGTGATCAATGTCATCTTGACCCTTTCCTTGCGGAGCCTTATGACGAATTCGCACCACTATCAAGAAATTGTACGTTTGTGCCTATACATGCTCCTTCATCCAGAATGATTCTCACTGCTCTTTCAAGAATTTCTTGCTTGACGTCCACCACCTTCCTACCTTCCTGCATCATACCAGTGAAAAGGAGCATGGCTCTTAGTGATAGGAAGTATAAAAGCCATCAACAACCCTGGGCAATCGCGCCCCAAACATACCAGCCGTAGCAGTCATGAAAGGGTCTGGTACCAACCACTGGCGTACCAGATGGTTGCATCTAAATTTGTTAGGTAGTTATCTAGCAACCATTTATACGACTGTATGCACACGCATAAATATATACACAAATACATGTATATCTATTAATAGTATATAAATATAAATAGACTTGCATAGAAGCCAGGTATCGTTTGGGGGATGACGACATGACAAAATGCTCGAGTACCAATTGCAATAGCTAATGCCAAAGAAAACACTTGAACTCACCTGGAATCACCTGAAATCTCACCTGAGGGTTTAGCGAAGCCAGCATGCCCACATGCAGACTGGCCCCATTGAGGTCCTTCAGCACTGCATGCGCGGGGCCCTGTGATTGGTCCACGTCAGCATGCGACCTGAGCATGCGGGTGATGCGAGACGTGATGGCTTGCACTCGCTCGATATCCTCTATTCTGAGCTCGAATGTGACGGCTACAGGGTAGCACCGAGCACGGGAGAAGTTGGTGATCACCTGGCAGGGTTTGAGGGGAATGGGTAACATGTCAGGACAGGAGTGGGAGTGCGAGGATGATAGGATAATATGTATGGTTCTGTGATGATAAAATGTGTTGCAAATTGCAATCCCACAACGTCCATTGGTCCAATCCCGCAGATGAAGAGATGTAATGGAGCACTCAGTCGCAGGGATTTGTTGAGAGAGAAAATATATATATATATATATACATATATATATATGTCCATGTATTGGAGCACTCCGTGTTGCGCTGAGAGTGTGACTCGCAAAATACTCGTTATAAGCACACCGGCATAGCCGTAATAGGGGCACTCACTGCAGTGTTGAAGATCTGGTTGGGCACCACCACTGACGGTCTGCTCCAGCCAGTTTGGTGTGCAGAAACCCAATCTCCTCCACCTGCCCCGATATGCCCCCCCTGCTTAAATTGATTCACTCTATGTCCCTGACGTACTCGTTATAGGCGCACTCACTGCAGTGTTGAAGATTTGATTTGGCACCACAACTGGCGCCTTGTTTGCTCCAGCCAGCTTGGTGTGAAGAAACCCAATCTCCTCCATCCGCCCCGATATGCCCCCCCTGCTTAAATTGTTTCATTCTATGTCCCTGACGTACTCGTTATAGGCGCACTCACTGCAGTGTTGAAGATTTGATTTGGCACCACAACTGGCGCCTTGTTTGCTCCAGCCAGCTTGGTGTGCAGAAACCCAATCTCCTCCACGCGCCCCGATATGGCCCCTGCTTGAATGCGCTCTCCCACCACGAATGGCTGTGAGATCACCAGCACTAGCCCGCCGAAGAAATTAGCGACTATTTCCTTGGAAGCGAATCCCATCGCGACACCTGGCATTCGGAAAGGTTGGGGGAAGGTGCCAGGTGGAGAGGGGATGCTCTATCTCAAAGGGTTGAGGGAGGCGGGAGTGGGGGCGTGGGGTGGTTGTTTCCTGTACCATCCTCCTCCACCCTTCCCGATATGGCCCCTGCTTGAATGCGCTCTCCCACCACGAATGGCTGTGAGATCACCAGCACTAGCCCTCCAAAGAAATTCGCCACTATTTTCTTGGAGGCGAATCCCATGGCGACACCTGGCATTTGGGGAGGTGGGGGTCTCCTTAACAATATCCCCCACCACGAATGGCTGTGAGAACACCAGCACTAGCCCTCCAAAGAAATTCGCGACTATTTCCTTGGAGGCGAATCCCATGGCGACACCTAACATTTGGGGAGGTGGGGGAAGGGGGTTGGGAAGAGCGGTGCTCGGTGCCCTGGAAGGAAAAGGAAGAGGGTTGGCCATGCCGCATGGGAATCACTTTTGAGAATTCTCTTTTGAGACTTGGGAATCACTTTTGAGAATTCTCTTTTGAGACTTGGGAATCACTTTTGAGAATTCTCTTTTGAGACTTGGGAATCACTTTTGAGAATTCTCTTTTGAGACTTGGGAATCACTTTTGAGAATTCTCAAAGGTGCTCGGTGCACTGGAAGGAAAAGGAAGAGGGTTGGCCATGCCGTGTGTGTTGCTGTTACCTTAGCCATCTCCCCCACCACGAACGGCTGTGAGAACACCAGCACCAGCCCGCCAAAAAAACTGGCCACCATCTCCTTGGAAGCAAAGCCCATGGCGACACCTGGCATTTGAGAAGGTCGGAGGGAGATTCCAGGTGGAAAGTGGGTGCTTTATCTCTGAGGGTTGAGTGGGTGTTTTTATCCACTTTCACTTTCCCTCACTTTCTTTCACTTTCCCTCACTCACCCCATCACTTCCTTCCACACCTGAGATGCCGCCCACCTGAGATGCCGCCCACCTGAGATGCCGCCCACCTGAGATGCCGCTCACAGCCACCAGGGAGAGGATGGACTCGCCAAAGAGATCCAGCACCGTGCCCACTCACCCCCTCACTCCCTCCCTCACTCTCTCCCGCACCCCCTCGCACCTGAGATGCCGCCCACAGCCACCAGGGAGAGGAGGGAGACACCGAATAGGTCCAGAACCGTGCCCACTCCCACTAGGTCTCTCAGCCAGCTCTGACGCACTTACTCAATCCTCCCTCACTCCCTCCCTCACTCCCTCACCTGAGATGCCGCCCACAGCCACCAGGGAGAGGAGGGAGACACCGAATAGGTCCAGCACCGTGCCCACTCCCACAAGATGGATGAGCAGCGAGAGGAAACGGCTCGCGTTGAGCAAGATGGGCTGGTGGGCGGGGCGTTGGTGCATCGGGCATAGCATAGGGGGGATGAGGGGCGGATGGGAGAGGTGGTTCGCAGGTTGAGGTAGCACCGTGCCCACCCCCACCAGGTGGATGAGCAGCGAGAGGAAGCGACTCGCGTTGAGCAAGGTGGGCTGGTGGGATGGGAGAGGGGGGAGGAGTGGGGAGGGAAAGGCGGAAGAGCTTTGATCAGGTGGGTATAGCAGCGTGCCAACCCCCACGAGGTGGATGAGCAGCGAGAGGAAACGACTGACGTTGAGCAATATGGGCTGGTGGGAGGAGAGGGGGCATGGGGGAGAGAGGGGGGCATGAGGGGCGGATGGGAGGGGGGGATATCCCCGTTCTTCGACCCCACTGCAAAGCACGTCACCACCAGCAAAAAAAACGCGAGACATGAGACGACTTTTGAGGCGCCTCAAAAGACGACTTTTGAGGCGCCTAAAAAATTCTTCGACCCCACTGCAAAGCACGTCACCACCAGCACTGACAGCACCGCAGCTTCTTTAAAAGATAGTAGGTAAATCCATCACCAACGCCACCAGTAGAGAGAGCACTAGGCCCACACACACGGTCCACTCTGCTCACCTTTTCAGCCGGGTGCCTCTGCAGCACCATCCGCATGACTCTGTCCTTCCACCCCACTGCAAAGCACGTCACCGCCACCACCACTGAAACCATTCTGAACCTCCGCAGGAGGAACGGGCTCAGGTGGAGCTTGGCTAGAGGCAGGAGAAGGCGCATACTGCAAGGATAAGGAGGAGGGAGTGAGCGAGAGAGGGAAAGACGAAGAAGGGGATTTGCCACCCACACTGGCACCACCACCACTGAAACTATTGTGAACCGACGGAGGAGGAAGGAGCTTGGCCAGTGAAAAAAGGAGACGCATGCTGCAAGGGGGAGCGGGAGGAAAGGGGGGACAGGAAGTGAGAGAGAACAGGGAACGGTTACAAATCGTTACTTTTTGCGCGTGTGGGTGTTTGTAAGGGTGGAACCTCTGCCTGGTGAAAACGAAAGCAGCATAAACGAAGAGCGATAGTAGTGTGGCTCCCTTACTGTCTGGTGAGGAAGAAAGCGGCTGCAACAAACTGCAGGGGGAGCACGAGAGCGCCAAACACGGAGTCCTGAAAGCATTCCTCTGTGACTTGACCGTCTCGCATGATAAAGGAGGCCCACAGCCTGGGGGGAGGGGATGGTAAAGAAGGAGGAAAAGTGAGACGAGTGGATTGAAAACCTTGAGACAAGAGGGCCAGACATTGAGTCGCATGATGAGGTTGGCCCAAAGCATGGGTTGGCAGGGGCAAAGGAGAGAATCTAACATAAGTGGATTGTAAACCTTTCAGACGTCTCAATATTATTTTGAGATGTCTCCAAAATGGTGGAGGCAAAATGACATGAGCGGATTGAGAACTGGATGGTTCCTGGGTGGCTGTCTTCACAAGAAAGTCAAGAGAGCCAAACATGACATGGCATTGCAACGAGATGACATTGTAATGATTAACAGACTATGCTTTTCAGTTGATGGTTACCAGTTAATGGTTACCAGTTGAGGGCTCGGCAGACGTTAGGTGTGACAGCAAAGAGGGCGATGAGGGCAAGAAACACAATCGACTCCCGCAGAGCAATCACAACCTGCCACGTGGCATGAAATTCAGGGTCCAGATGTCATGAAATGCGTGTGGTTTGACTCCGTATTGTGAGGGGAGCAGCGACCAATGACGTGGAGAGAAATGTGCTCGCAGTAAATGCACTGAACCACACTTACCAGCGTCTCTGATCGCTGCACAGCTGCCATCACACGGACCGGAAATCATGCTAACAGCCCAAACGATTTCGCGCCAGGCATAAGAACATACTGCGTGGGGCACGCAGCAGGAGCACATCTTACCAGCGTATCTGATCGCTGCACAGCTGCCATCAAACGGGCCGGCAGCCATGCTAACAGGTGACACACATGGGGTGTGGTGAGGCAGTGGCCTGGCGCACATGACTTGCACTTACCAGCGTCTCTGATCGCTGCACAGCTCCCATCAAACGGGCCGGAAACCATGTTAACAGCCCCACAGATTGTTCTCCAGGCATGAGCACATTAGAGTACACCGTTCTGGCGGAGTTGTTGAGGAAGTTATCTTCCAGCATGGGGGCACAGCGAGACACGCACTGCACCACTCGCACCGCCTTCCCTGCCACTGGTGGTAGCGCTGACACCCCCCCTGCTGCTGCCGCTCCTGCTGATGCTGCCGCTGCTTTCTCAGCAGCTCCTGCAGATACTGTCGCCGCCACAGCAGCAGCAGCAGCAGCTGCAACAATCGCGTTAATGTCTGCCCTTACTCTTTGTCTTGGGCTGGCAGGGGTTGCTGGACTGCTTGCTAGCCCACCTGCTGCTGCTCCTGCTGCTGCTTCTGCTCCTGCTTCTGCTGCTCCTCCCGCTGCTCCTCCTCCTGCTCCTCCTCCTGCTGATTCTTCCGCAGCAGCAGCAGCAGCAACACTCACACACACCCCTGCCCTTGCTCCTGGCCTTCGACAGGCATGAGTTGCTGTTCTGCGGGTTGCTCTGCGGGTTGCTCCGTGGGTTGCTCTGTCAGTTGCGCACCTCCATTGTTGTGAGCTGCCGCTGAATTCACACCCTACGCGTGACTGTATTGCTCCGTGGACTGATTTTTGGGGTTGAAAGCGCAGTGACCAAGAGCTGGCAGCGGGTGCTGTGCCTGGTGGTAAGCGCAATGAGCAAGTGACGGAGGATGATGTTGTCATTGATGACGTGGCGGGTGGTGGGTGACTATAACGAGGCGCCTGAGGATGCGATGGCTTACGACGGCGGAGCGTAATAAATTAGCGTGAAATTGCACTAAATTTTAACTACACGCATCGTACTGCGACCCTCACAAGTGCGTACCGTGCCAGGTATTTTGGGTCGCCTGCATTCCGGGAATTGAGTAGAAAAAATACTGATAAGCACTGCTTAAGGAGGTCAGAACGGTAATATACGATTCAGAGCAGTAGCACTCGCAAATCAGAAGCGATCGGGAGCAGCTCATGAGCGAAAGGCCGCTGGCGAATCATGCGACGTCGATTGCTAACGACGGCACTTGGAGACAAGCATACCGAACGACGATGATCGCTCGACTCCAAGGCAGCAAGCCATGAGATTGGTGCGAGGGAGTCAGGAGGATTCGAGAGGAGTATCAAACCTGGAATCTAGAACCTGCGAATTTGGAACATTGAGGTTACAGCAGCGCAATTCGGATATCGAAGCAAGTCGGGGGAATCAGCATAGGCTCTCGAGAAATACTGAGCAGCTTGTAAGGTGGGCTGCTGCAGGCCCGGCGGCCATCTCAAGGGGTGCAAAGGAGCCTGATAAAACAGTACAGTGGTGCCGTTGCTTTTGATTGTACCCTAAACTATGTCATCACAATCATTCTAGTAAGTTGAACGTTTATTCCCAGCTTGATCTTCACACTATTTCGAGTGCACAAGTATAATAATATTAGGAGTTTCTGCAGTGCTAAAACGCCAACAAAAATACCGCAGTACACTTCAAGTTCCTAACCCCCCTGCTCCAGCTACCTTTGCATATAATTCCCCACTGTAAAATAAAAGGCAACTACATAAAAGACACGCCGTTCTGTTTAAAGGCATAAAAGGCAACTGCCCAGTGCCCCCATCCCTCCACTTACAGCCCTCACCAGTCTCCTCACCCCCCCACCCCATCTCTCTTCCGCGGCCAATTCCCCCCCATACATGCCCACACTCACTTCCCCTGCTTCAACTAGCATTGGCGCTCCCCACCCCCCTCTCTTTCCCTCTGCACAGCCCCACTTCAGCCTCCATTGCTGCTATTGCACAAGCCAGCCTCTCACACTTCCTGTTCGCATCCTCCCCCTCACGCCTCCTGTGCCCATCCCTCCCAAACGCCTTGGCCCAGATTAGAAAATTCCTTTCTTGAGTGGGCAGCCTTCTTGAGTCTGCGCAGCGTCCTAAGCCCCTGCTCCAGCTGCGTGCTCTCACCTGTGCTGTCTCACTCGCTTCCCAGGCTCAATCCCCTCACACCTTCAGTCTGGGCAGCGTCCTAAGCCCCTGCTCCAGCTGCCTGTGCGCCGTTTGCTCCCCCGGGCCCCCCTGCTGCCTCTGCGCGGGCGGGCATATGGGCGCACCCGCGGGCCGGTTGGGGAAGGCGGAAGGGGGGTACGAGGGGGGGCAACGCGGGGGGGCGTGTGGAGGAAAATCCGGCGCATGGGGGGGTTGGTATGAAGGGGGGAAGGGTGGGGTGTGTGAGCGCGAGTGCGGGGGCTTCTGTAGGGGGAGCGGATGCGGGTAATGGTTGCTGTGAAAACGACGGTGATCCTGCTGTTGCTCCTGCTCCTGCTGCTGATGCTGCAGCTGCGGCTGGTGCTCCCGATTCTGCTCCTGCTGCTGTTGCAAGTACTGCTGATACTGGTGGCACTGCTGCTGATAGTACATCCGCTGCTGCTGCGCTTGCTGTTGGTGCTGGTGATGCTGGTAGTACCGGTGCTGCTGCATCTCATCCCCCTCTGACCCGCACTGATGCGGTCGAGGGTGCATGTTGGGGTGTGAGTGTGGCCGCGCCAGCATTCCAACCCCGTGCGCAGGGTAACCCGGGTAATTAGCGTAATTGCCCTCGCGCGACTCGAACGGCCCCCCGTGAGGATAGCATCCGTTATAGTCACCATCGCGCATAAGGCTGGCCCTTTCCGACTCCGACCCGTCAAAGCTTCTCCGCCGCTCTGCATCTCGCGGCGCATCAAGCGGAGGAACCGCGTCTTCTAGCTCCGCGGGAGACGATACGTAGGAGCGCGACCGCGTCGGATGCGGGTGGTGGCCGGCTGAAGCCACGTGGCGCGTTTCTTTCCGCTCGTCGCCGTGATTCGCGGGCGGCATACGCGCCGTCGGTTGCGCCTCAGGTCGGTCGGTTCGAATCGGCGCGCTTGCCGGGCGAGAGCCAGTGAGCGACGGACGCGTGGCGCCGCCGGAGGAATGCGCGGCGCCGTGGGATGGGCGCGAGATGCGGTGTAGGCAGGGCGGGTCCATGAGCGACTCGCCGTTGCGAATGGGTTCCGCATCCTCCGCCTGTTGCGCCAGGGGGATGGGGGAAAGATGGAGAAGGCGCCAAGGGGGAGATTGGGGGAGAGGAAAGATGAGGAGATGGGAAAGCTTTGATGGGGGCGGGAGGACACGGGGTAAGGGGAAGAGCGGCAGGCGGAATACGGGGGGGAGTGGGGAGGGAAGGGGCGGAGGGGGGAGGGCGGGATGAAGGGGGAGGGGGTGACGAGGGATGGGGACGATGTGGGAGGGGAAAGACAGGACAGGGGGAGGACGGGACGGGGGAAGTGGGCGGACCAAGAGCTAGTTTATTGATACAGCGTAGCCGTTATGAAAAACTCCGCCCGTAAACGGCTGGAATGCGCACGGATGGGAGGGAACGGTTCGGGGGGGAGGATGGGGAAGAGCCGGGGAGGGCGGAGACGGCGGGGGAGGGTGTGGGAAGGGGAGAAGGGAACGGGGAGAGACGGCAAGAGAGCGGGAGGAAGCGAACGAGTTTTGAGACGTCTCAACATCTGAGACGTCTCATAACAGGAAGCGAACGAGTTTTGAGGCGTCTCAAAACAGGAAGCGAACGGGCTCTGGCTTCGCCATATGCGCGCGAAGAAAGAGCGGAGGGGAGGATGGGCGTTTACGGAGGGGAGGAGGAAGAGCGGAAAGAGCGGGGGCGAGCGGGACCCGTGCAACTACGCTACTGTCGTAAGCTCATATTGCCAGCTTCGTACCTCGAGTATTTCGGGCGTACCTTGCAGCAAACACTTGTCCGTACCTTGCAGCACACGCTCGTCCGTACCTTGAGTTTTTCGGGCGCGTGCGAGTCGAAGGCGATCAGCACGCCGCCGCAGAGCGAGCCGCCGCACGCGGCGAGGCCGAAGCCCATCACCAGGTAATCCACCATCGCCATGCGACGCGCGCGACAACTCGGCGACAGCTCGGCGACAGGTGGAGCAACAACTAGGCGACACGCCACAAAATCGCGTGTCGGTCCGACTCCAAATGATGCACTTACGAACAGCGAAACGTCGAACTTAGGTGAAAGGCGAGACTAAGCAACAATAATCTGATTTGCTTTGTACGCGAAGAAAATGCTGTTCACTTCCTGGTTGCGGGAATAGCCGTAAGGTGGTCGCTCAAACACTTGATTTCAACAGACGACATAGACATAGCCAGAGTCGATCTGTTGATCAACCAGGCATCAGCCAGCCGAGCAGGAATTACATATGAACAACCTTGGAGCAAGGGGTCGAGCTCTTATCAATACGGTGAAGTACGATTCTGTACATTTGTGAACGTTTGTCTGGGGTATCGTTCACGACAAGAGTACGCTGTTGATTGAGATACACCAACAACCAGAACGCGCGATGGGGGGAGAGGATGCAAGCGGAGCAATTGAACAGGCGAAGGGAGTGTGACGAGGAAAAGGGAATGGGGAGAGGTTTGCGGGGAGGGGGAAAGGTGGGGGGAATGGCTGCAGTGCAGCAGTGCTGTAGGCGCTGTAGCTGGTGACTCCTAGTTCAGCCACGACGAGCCAGATGTCTACCAACCAAAGACCAGGCTCTGCGAGCTCTGAACCTCAAAATCTGCTTCGTAATTTGTCTGTTCGTGAATGGTGACGTGTAATCACGTCCTCTCAGAGGAGCGCTTCCAGCCAGACCACTGAGGTTGAGGTGCAGCAATCAGCGTCGACCAACATGCCGAAAACGACACTGTCTTTCGACTAGGAGGGAAGCCCAGGCACAACAAACTTGAGTGTGTAGGGCTGGACGGTGCACAGGCATTTCCCCTCCAGCACGAAATGAAATCCCTCCCCTGAAAAGGTATTGCATGGAAAAGCAATCGGTAATGTCGTTATTTCGGAATTTGTCAAGCTTTGAGCTGATTTCAAGTGCAAGGAGTGGGTTCTACTAAAAACATCTGTCTAGGGAGGTGCCATGAGCCCGAACCGCATCCCGCGTGAAGTCGCGTTGGTGGTGTGTGAGGTGTGAGCAGCACGTTTTCTGGTTTGGCCACACCACCTCACAGCTGGCTCGACTCGGAAACGAGCCTCGGCAGAAAACCTTGGCTTGGGAACGTGGTGAGCAATTTGGGTCACACCCTGAGCTGCAGTTGGTGGAGGAGCTGAGCACGGACTCCACATGTGGAATCACCTGACGACTCAACGCGCGAGCCAACTTGGTAAGTGGTTGTGCTCTGTTGTTGATTTTGAAGCATTGTTTGGGAAATCTGTTACGGAGACTAGCTTAGCGCGTATGAATGGAATTTGATGCTTTTCGCGTGCGACTGGATGTCGCCCGCACATGTTACCAGCTCTTGGCTCGCTGAGGATGGTCGCCTTTTGCCTCTGGTGAAGAATCTTCCACAGAATCAGAACAGAGAATCTGGATTGAAGTGACACACTCCTCAGCTCACTCGTCAAGTTTCTCATAGAGTCACAATCCTCATACAATCACTCTTATCCACTCTTCCCTCCAATAGACACACGTTCCACACCTCCCGCCATTTTCAGTTCTGCTTTGCTTCGCTTTCTTCTCGCTCTCGAGTTGCGTCATTCTTCTGAACGCCTTGGGAATGTTGTGACACTTCGAAAATATCGTCGCCACGCGTTGAGGAGGAATACCGTTTCGTGTTCCAATCAACCTCACTCCGTTGCACTAGGTGAGTAGATTCCGCTGTCAGCGGCTAGAATTTACCACGATCAATGCTACCGCTGCCTTGCTGCGCGCCACGAGTTTAGGTGTCAACGCAAATGAAGAAGCGATAACGATGCACTCTCTCAAAAAACACTAGGGCATCGCAATTTCACTGACTCCTTGTTGCCTCCGTCGCTGCCGCGTGGCTTCTGTTGCGAGATACATTACCGCTTTGGCTGGTTCGCTAACCAGAAATCGTCGCTAAAATGCCGTTTGCGCCGTGCGTCTTGATCCGTGATCCCACCGTGGTACTCTAGGGATTTACTGACGTCGCGAGAGTACCCTTCCTTTTACAAGCAGTTTCATTTCCAGAATCCGTCGCTAGAATGCCACGTGTGTCTTAGTCCGTGAGCTTACGCTCGTGGTCCTCTGGAGAATTATTGACGTCGCGAGAGTAACCCCCTCACTTCTGTCGGCAGTCTTGCTTGCAAAAATCTCGAGATCCTCCCTTTCTTAGCGGGAAATCGAGGCTGCGGCGGGTTCTGCACGTACTTGCTCGCTCGCTTAAGTGTGACTACAACGAGTCGTCTTGTTTCTTCTCCATTCTGTTTCTCTTCCCATTCACCTACACCGCACACTCCTTGATTCAATTCACTCGCTAAGAACCTTTCGTACGTACGAACAAACACGAATCAGACATGATAAATCACTTACCAGACCAGTCATTCAATATGCATCGTTCCAGATTTGCTCGTCAATCACTCATGCTCCAATGCGTGTCGTCCATACATTTCCTCCTCTTGCCACGCGGCGCAGCGTGACTGGCTGACATGGCGTTCCCAGGATCCGCTGCAGTGGCCAACACCAGAGCAGCCCTCCTTCCTGCTGCTGCCACATGGCAGCACGTCAGCGTGACGTCAGCGTCCAGCAGCACTCGAATCGCCCCTGCATCTTTCACAACCGCTCTCAGTTTTCGAAGAGACAGGAGGGGGAGTTGTTCGAGGGGAGGACTAGAGAATCACATAAGGCCACTGAGCCTGAGAAGAAGAAGAAGGGGAGTGTGCGTGCGAGCGGATGGGGGGACCACGACAACGGGGACGAACGGCGTGACGACAAGCGGCAGCAGCGGATGGGTGGAGCGGCGGGAGGAGGAGATCGCTGCGGTGAGTGGAAAGAGGTGTCATTTCAGGTGGTTTTTAGGTGATTCTTCAGGTGATCTTTCAGGTGATGCTTCAGGTGGTACTTGATGAAGGTAAGCAGGAGTGGATTCAGGTAATAATAAATGCATGTGACCTCTATGCATGAGGGTCAAGGCCACCCTTTTCCCTTCTGAGACTGTATGCTGAGCTCCCCCCCCTTCTCATCCTTGCCCCACCTCGATTCTCTCCCCCCTTTCCCCCCGACCCCCGCTTTTTGAGACGTTTCAGGATCCCCCCTGTCCCACGCTTTTCGAGACGTGTGGATGGAAATGAAATCTCCCCTGAACCACGGGCCAGGAGGAAATGAAAGCCCTTCCTTGCCCGTGTCTTACCCCCCGCCCTCTCCTTTCCCATCTACAACCCTCACTCCCCCTCGTGGATGAGTTAAAGGCCTTGTTGCTCGCAACCATGCGTCCCTCCCTGAGGGCGTATATGGGAGGGGCAACGACTGCATGCATAGACTCTTTCTCTTGTATGAAGATTTATTTCGAGACGTCTCAAAATGAGGGCGAGTATGGGAGGCAAGGTAGAAAAAAACAATTGTCGAAAAATACGATTGTTTTTTTCGATGGTATTTTACGGTACCTTTTGGGAAAAAAACTTCGTTTTTTTGTTAGACAAAAAAAACTCTTCAACTTCAAAGATGCTGTTCTGATCACAAAAGCACTTCTAACAATCTTCCGCTGCATCATCAGCACTTCTAACGGCCCCCTTGTTCTTCTCACCAATCAATCCCCTTGTTTCAGCAGCAGTTTTGGTATTTTTACTGAAAAAAACGAAGGTTTTTTTGCACCAGAAGTATTTATTTTCAAAACCGTTTTTTATCGTTTTTTACGATCGTTTCTTACGATACGGTATTTTACGATCAAAAATTGAAAAAAACGTCGTTTTTTTGCACCTTGATGGGAGGGGCAACGACTGCATGCATAGACTCTTTCTCTTGTATGAAGATTTATTTTGAGACGTCTCAAAATGAGGGCGAGTATGGGAGGGGCAACGACTGCATGCATAGACTCTTTCTCTTGTATGAAGATTTATTTTGAGACGTCTCAAAATGAGGGCGAGTATGGGAGGGGCAACGACTGCATGCATAGACTCGTTCTCTTGTATGAAGATTTATTTTGAGACGTCTCAAAATGAGGGCGAGTATGGGAGGGGCAACGACTGCATGCATAGACTCTTTCTCTTGTATGAAGATTTATTTTGAGACGTCTCAAAATGAGGGCGAGTATGGGAGGCGCAACGACTGCATGCATAGCCTCTTTCTCTTGTATGAAGATTTATTTTGAGACGTCTCAAAATGAGGGCGAGTATGGGAGGGGCAACGACTGCATGCATAGCCTGTTTCTCTTGTATGAAGATTTATTTTGAGACGTCTCAAAATGAGGGCGAGTATGGGAGGGGCAACGACTGCACGCATAGCCTCTCCTCTCCTCCTCCTTCCCCCCACCCCCTCGTCCCCCTCACTCCCGCTCTTGGACGAGGTAAAGAGCATCTTGGCTCGCGCGACCATGCATCCCTCCCCGTGGGCAAGTATGGGAGGGACGACGAGGCCTTGCTGAGGTGGTTCCTGCATGCACCCATCCTTTTCCTATCCCCTCTCTTCCCCAATTCACCATCAGCTGGTAGACGAGGTGAAGAGCATCTTGGCGCGCAACCATGCGTCCCTCCCGGTGGGCGAGTATGGGGAGATGGCGACAGCATGCCTATCCTCTCCCTTTTCTCCAACCTAACCCCCCTCACTCCAGCTCGTGGACGAGGTGAAGAGCATCTTGGCTCGCGACCATGCGTCCCTGCCCGTGGGCGAGTATGGGCGGGACGACGAGGCCATGCTGAGGTGGTTCCTCAAGGATCGCAAGTACAAGGTGGAACCCACGGTGGAGAAGCTTGTGAAGGCTATTGTGAGTGGCGGGGGTGGGTTCTGTGCGGTGCAGTGCGATTATGGGTGAGTATGGGTGGGGTGGGACGATGAGGCAATGCTGAGGTGGTTTCTCAAGGACCGCAAGTACAAGGTCGAACCGACGGTGGAGAAGCTTGTAAAGGCTATTGTAAGTGGTGCAGTGCGGTACAGTGCGTTGCAGCAGCAGCAGCAGCAGCGCCATGTTGAGGTGGTTCCTCAAGGACCGCAAGTACAAGGTGGAGCCCACGGTGGAGAAGCTTGTGAAGGCTATTGTGAGTGGTGCAGTGCGTTGCTGGGGAGTGTTGCTGTTTACTCTCGTTGCAGCAGCAGCAGCACCATCAGGTCATGCTGAGGTGGTTCCTCAAGGATCGCAAGTACAAGGTCGAACCGACAGTGGAGAAACTCGTCAAAGCTATTGTGAGTGGGTGGGTTGTGTGCGGTGCAATGCGTCCTGGCAGAGTGTTGCTGTTTACTCTCGATGCAGCAGCAGCAGCAGCAGCAGCAGCAGCAGCAGCCACAAACCCACCAACCAGGCCATGCTGAGGTGGTTCCTCAAGGATCGCAAGTACAAGGTGGAACCCACGGTGGAGAAGCTTGTGAAGGCTATTGTGAGTGGCGGGGGTGGGTTCTGTGCGGTGCAGTGCGATTATGGGTGAGTATGGGTGGGGTGGGACGACGAGGCAATGCTGAGGTGGTTTCTCAAGGACCGCAAGTACAAGGTCGAACCGACGGTGGAGAAGCTTGTAAAGGCTATTGTAAGTGGTGCAGTGCGGTACAGTGCGTTGCAGCAGCAGCAGCAGCAGCGCCATGTTGAGGTGGTTCCTCAAGGACCGCAAGTACAAGGTGGAGCCCACGGTGGAGAAGCTTGTGAAGGCTATTGTGAGTGGTGCAGTGCGTTGCTGGGGAGTGTTGCTGTTTACTCTCGTTGCAGCAGCAGCAGCACCATCAGGTCATGCTGAGGTGGTTCCTCAAGGATCGCAAGTACAAGGTCGAACCGACAGTGGAGAAACTCGTCAAAGCTATTGTGAGTGGGTGGGTTGTGTGCGGTGCAATGCGTCCTGGCAGAGTGTTGCTGTTTACTCTCGATGCAGCAGCAGCAGCAGCAGCAGCAGCAGCAGCAGCAGCAGCCACAAACCCACCAACCAGGCCATGCTGAGGTGGTTCCTCAAGGATCGCAAGTACAAGGTGGAACCCATGGTGGAGAAGCTTGTGAAGGCAATTGTAAGTGGTGGAGTGCGGTACAGTGCGTTACAGCAGCAGTAGCCACCAGCCAGGTGGTTCCTCAAGAGCCGCAAGTACAAGGTGGAACCCACGGTGTGAGAAACTCGTCAAAGCTATTTTGAGTGGCAGAGTGGGTGGGTTGTGTGCGGTACAGAGCGTTGTGGGAATGGCACCACGGATTCAATCGTATATTAGCTCGAATAAACACGAAATCGACCTCTTGACTCGCCCTTCCCCTTGCCAACACCCCTTCCCTCGCCCCTTTGTGGTCCTGCCCCTTGTGTTTGTAATCTGTTTTGGAACTTCTCAAAAGTAAATACCCCTGTAAAGACCCTTGGAACTGCCCCCTGTAAATGGCTTGTCCTTCCCTCGCCAACACCCCTTTCCTCCCCTTTGTTTGTACTGCACCCTTGTCCCGCCCATACACGCCTTTGCCTGGACCCTCATCCCCTTATCAGAAATGGCGCCACGAGTTTGGAGTGGCGGGGCTGACAGCTGCTGACGTGGCAGAGGAGGGGGCCACGGGGAAGGCTTTCCTCCACGAGTACGCTGACGTGGACGGGCGGCCCGTGATCGTTGTCGTGGCAGCGAAACACTTCCCCGACGTAAGTGACTTTCTGGTCTCAGCTCTTGATTGTGGTCTCTGTTCATTGCTGCCTTCTAATCTCTTTCATTGTTTTTGAGGCGCCTCAAAAAACACTTCCCCGACGTAAGTGACCATGTCGTCTCTGTTCATTGTTGTGACAACGTTGTTGTGGTCTCTGTTCATTGTTGTGACAACGTTGTTGTGGTCTCTGTTCATTGTTGCCTTCCAAGCTCTTTCATTGTTTCCCCTCCTCTTCCCACCCACCTACTCCCCTCTCCCACCTTCACCCCTCCTCGCTCGCCAGTCATCCCGCCTGGTCTACATCTAGCTGCTGTGCGCATATCCCATCAAAAGAGCCATCGAGCGACTGCAATACAGCCGTCGCACTATGGCTCTTCGCCTCAACGTACAGCCAGCAGCTGTGCGCGTACCTCATTGAAAGAGCCATAGAGCGGCTGCTACGCGCTTTCATTGCTGCCCCTCCCCCTCCCATCCACCTCCTCCCTCTCCCACCCGCCACCAGTCATCCCGCCTGGTGTACAGCCAGCAGCTTTGCGCGTACCTCATTGAAAGAGCCATAGAGCGACTGCCGGAGGGGGAGGTGCAGTTCCGAGGGATATTCGACCTGAGAGGTTTCACTGCTAAGAACACCGACCTGGCTTTCGTGAAATTCATGGTGAGTTGGTGTGCAATTGCATGTGGGGAAGGGGACTTCTGAGTTGACTCGAAAGTGACTGCCGGAGGGGGAGGAGCAGTTCGGCGGGAACTTTGACCTGCGGGCTTCACTGCTAAGAACACCGACCTGGCGTTTAACAAGTTCATGGTGAGCTGGCGTGCATGTATCTAGAAGAGGAGAGGGGGTGGCGAAGGGAAAGGTGCGGAGGGAAGGAGATGCTTTTTGGGGGGAAATGTATGGGATGCATGCCATGGGGATATTTGACCTTGCTTTCATTAAGTTCATGCTTGTTTCACCTTCTCTCCTCACTTCTCACTTAAGCGTCTCAGACTTTCCCGCTTCTCCTTCTTTCTTCCCACTATCACCGCCGCTCACAGGTTGACGTTTCATTCAACTACTAATCCAAAAACATTGTTAGTCTTAAAAGAATGTCTCCTTGTATCCGTTTCAACCCCGTGCTTCCCTGAATTTCCTCCTACAGATTGACGTGTTCTTCAACTACTATCCCAAGAGATTGCACCAGGTATGGCAAGCAGAACTTCATGCTTCCTCATTTATTTGAATGGTCCCTGTAGGTAGAATGGAAGTGAATGTAAGAGGTCTAGTTTTGAGGCGCCTCAAAACTTGCACCAGGTATGGCAAGCAGAACTTCATGCTTCCTCATTTATTTTAATGGTCCCTGTAAGTGGAATGGAAGTGAATGTAAGAGGTCTAGTTTTCAGGCGCCTCAAAACTAGATTGCACCAGGTATGGCAAGCATGACTTCATGATCTCTCTCTCTTTTCTTTTCTTTTCTTGTTAATGGTCCCAGTAGGTAGAGTGGAAGGGAATGTAAGAGAACGGAAGAGAATGCAAGAGAGTGGGAAGACAATGAGAGATTCTGAGGTAATAGGATGCCAGTGTTGTTCCCCACCTCTCTTGCTCTCCACCTATCTTGCTCCCCACCTCTCTTGCTCCCCACCTCTCTTGCTCCCCACCTCTCTTGCTCCCCACCTCTCTTGCTCCCTACCTCTCTTGATCCCCACCTCTCTTGCTCCCCACCTCTCTTGCTCCCCACCTCTCTTGATTCCCACACTCTTACTCCCCACATTGTTGCTCCCCACCTCTCTTGCTCCCCACACTCTTGCTCCCCACCTCTCTTTCTCCCCACCTCTCTTGCCCCCCACCTCTCTTGCCCCTCACCTATCTTGATTCCCACACTCTTACTCCCCACATTCTTGCTCCCCACCTCTCTCGCTCCCCACACTCTTGCTCCCCACACCTCCTGTGTCTGTGCTCCATGCCTTCGTGAGTACACTGTTCAGCTTCACATTTCTCTCCCCACCCATCCTGCTTATCTCTCTCTTACGCATCCTGCTTCTCTCACTCTCTTACGCATCCTGCTTCTCTCACTCTCTTACGCATCCTGCTTCTCTCACTCTCTTACGCATCCTGCTTCTCTCACTCTCTTACGCATCCTGCTTCTCTCACTCTCTTACGCATCCTGCTTCTCTCACTCTCTTACGCATCCTGCTTCTCTCACTCTCTTACGCATCCTGCTTCTCTCACTCTCTTACGCATCCTGCTTCTCTCACTCTCTTACGCATCCTGCTTCTCTCACTCTCTTACGCATCCTGCTTCTCTCACTCTCTTACACATCTTGCTTCTCACCCCAGGTGCTCTTTGTGGACGCGCCCTTCATCGTCCACCCAGGGTAGACTTTCTTCAACTCTTAGGGGCTTTAACTCTCCTCTCACTTGTTGCTCCCATCCGACCCTCCACCACCCCAGGTGCTCTTTGTGGACGCGCCCTTCATCTTCATCTCCCAGGTGTTCATCTTCCATTCCTCTCCCTGCCCGCCCTGCGCCCCACACCGCTTCCCACCACTTCCCACCACCCCAGGTGCTCTTTGTGGACGCGCCCTTCATCTTCCAGCCGGGGTGGAAGGTCATGAAGCCGCTGCTCAAGTCGTACGCCAACCTGGTGAGTGCAGAGCAGATGCTGACTTTAAAGCCCCCATTATGAGCCAGCTGGGTCATGAAGCCATTGCTCAAGTCGTATGCCAACCTGGTGAGTGCTGCTGCGCGTTGCTGGCTTTAAAGCCCCCCGTATAAGCCAGCTAGGTCATGACGAATCTGCTCTACTCGTACGCCAACCTTCTGTGTCGTGGCCGTGGTGCCTTCTGGATATTCAGTTCAGTTCAGACATTCCAAACTGAACTCGTAGTTGCCTGGTTATATGCTCATATCGATGGGGCACGAAACTGGTCTATTGACCTGTCTTCCCACTTCTATTCGCAGGTTGTGTTCTGCAAAGCTGAGGAGGTCAGAGACAAATATTTTCTGCCCGGCCAAGCACCTGATTCGTATATTTGAAGTCTTGTTCATTTGAAAAACTTGTCTTCTAGACCTGTGACACCAAGATCCGTGTGTATATCAGCCCAACCATTCTCAAGAATGCAGGGGAGAGAATTGGAATAATCAGGGTTATGACAAGATTCTAGCGTGGTACTTGTTCTAAATGTTTGGGTTGATGACGTGTTTAGTATAGCCTGTGAGATTATCTAGAAATATGGTAGGAGTGACATTGCAAGAAGCAACTGTACCTCTGTAGTTTTGTAACAATTGACTTTTACTTTTTTTTTGGCTTAATGAATCATACACTAGAGTGAACAAGTGTACAACGCATAACAGTCGTAACTGTGCAAGGGAGACGAGAGGACTCGCTCCAGGAATATCTGATCCTCAGACATGGATCCGGGGCCTGCGAGGTTTGCCCCAAAGTGCCGCAAAACTGTTGGACCATTTCCATCCTTTGCCATCCACCACCCTGATCCGAACCAGAAGAGTACGTTTCTGTTTAGTCATTTTCTGCCACCTGGCGAGCTGCCCTTTTCCTCGCTGCTGCATCCTCGTGGCCGAGGCACGTATGTAGACATTCACAATTGACTTTTACTGAGTGCAACTTCAGAGGTTGGGACACTGTGCTCGAAGCAAGAGTTCTTGAATACGCCCCGGGTTGATTCCTCCTCTTCCCGCTGTTGCTTTGCTTTGTCAGGGCAATTTAGATGCTCTATCTTCTGCGAGTAATAATAATCTAATCGACGTAAGTGAGATCCGCGAGCAGATTAGTCTTGGAATTGCGCCGCTTCGGTAGCATGCGCCGCGCGATGTTTCGGCATGTCTGAGCGGCTATTCGCGTCGAGGTGTGAATCGTCGCGAGAGGCGACGGCATGGGTGAGGTAACCCGAGGCCAAGAGCTTCGCGGCGGAGATTTACATTCATCGTCGTTCGGTAAAATCAATGTGCTTGGCTGGCTGACACCCTTCACCCACGGATGATTTAATACCGCATCGACTGTGGGACGAGATCCAGGATCCACAAACAGCATCGAACGGATGAGGTTTTTCGCCGAGCCTGAGATTTCGGACCAACATGGGAGCAACCAATCCTCACGCGACTGTTGTCCGCGAATAATTGTCGGCCATTCGCCGGCCAGCATGGAATATAGGGTAACCCCAAGGCTCCAAATGTCCGCGGAGAAGTCGTATAGATCTCTCGCGAGGACCTCGGGAGCGATGTAGGGAAGGCTGCCGACGCACGCATGCATTTTCTGTCCCGGCTTTAGAACCGTCGATGCGCCGAAATCGGACAGCTTAGCTGTGAAGGCCACGAAAGGCTGCGCGGCGTCGTGAAGCCCGGAGTCTCTTTCTCGAGATAACGATGAGGCTGTCACGTCTTCGCTTGATATGACTTCTCCATTAAAGCCAATCTTCTTGTTGCTCCTGTCGCACTTCGCATCGTCGCCTGACGTCAGCGTCGACCTGTTCTCAAACAGCATAATATTTTCCGGCTTGATATCGCGATGCATCAACCCGCTCTGGTGACACTGCTTCACGCCGCACACCACGTCGCGGAAAATCGACCGCGCCTCCCACTCAGGCAGCCGTCCTTTCGCATTGATGTGTGTTACCAGATCGCCGCCTGTCGCGAGTTCGGAGAGCAAGATTAGGGTTTCGGTCTGAGGGTCGTGGAACAACTTTTGGATGGCAACCACGTTGGGACAGCCTTGAAGAGTCGAAAGCGCGCCGATTTCTCGTAAGGCGGAATCCACGCCCCCTCTGCCGACGGCCTGTTTACACGCGAACTCGTTATTGCCTTGTCGCTCCTGACATCGCCACACGGTTCCGAACTTGCCGGTTCCCAGCTTCTCTTTAACTTCATATTCTGAGTGAAAGTCGTCTAACGGTCGAATTAGCTCCAGCATGCTGCTGGGTAAAATTCTGCTGTGCAAAGGAGACTAAACCGACTGTTGAGTTGAAAGTAATGCTTCTGGAAGTGACGAGGCTGATCTTTGTGTATCAGGATAACGAGCTGAAGCGACGGTTCGGGTCTGGTGTTTACACTGATCTCGTGTTCTTACGGTTCTAAGTAGCGCTGCGTTGACAAGGGGCATGTCGCGTGCGCATGACTTACTCTCAAACATAGCTGCTGTAGCAGGCTTGCGTGGCGAACCTTTTTTTAGCGAGAGGGGCATACTCCGCCGTCTTTCGTATGGGAAAGTTGAGGCAGACGGAAAAGGTAAGGCCGTTTGCCGTGTCGTGAGGGTGACGGGAGGGTAATGAGGAAAGCCGTGTGGGTATAGGAGCTATTTTGTTATGATTCGATTACTGTACAGTTTTCAAGGCCGTAAGAGGCGAAAGGACTAGGAAATTTTCGACATAGCGGGGCACTTGCTGATGAATCCGCCTCATCGCCTTCCTCCGAAAATGCTCCCAGGGGGGCCAGCATGGCGGCATCCCAGCCACGGCTGATGAGGGTGATTGTGGTCACCGTCGATTCGGGAATCTCGATGATGTGGTTGCACGTCATTTTCTCTGTTCGGTTCGGCCACAAACATATTTGTCAAAGCTCGCTGCTGTCAAGGAATACTGTAGTGGATGAAACCAATAAGGAGGATACCGAATCACAGCTTGAGAAAGGTGATTCCGCACAAAGTGACCACCCTAGAACCTTCTTGATAACTTGTTGACAGGCTATCAAGGCTCGAGATAAGCGCACGGCTGCCGAAGCTCAATGTCAGCAGATGACTGCCGAACAGCATCTTTGGCCCACGAGATTTTACATGTCGTTGCTTTCCTGGAAAATCCTTCTTCTAGCAATTTTGCGCATCACTGATGCGCGCATGGTGCGCCCTCTCGAGGGTGCATCATGCGCGCATAACTGGCGCTCGCCCTCAAAATTCCTGGAACGAAGGTGTCTTGAACGCGCTGATGGGCTTCCGCGATTTCTCAATGGCGCTGTTCTGTAGGCGTTATTGCCTCCGCATTAAATGTACGGAATTTGTCCTTCCTTGTAGCTTCTGGCCGCACCAATTGCCTAATTTCTCAATTTGCTGGGGGTGTTGCCACGAAGCTCGCTCAAACTCTCGAATCTCACAAATTGCTGCCCTGAATAACTTGTGCGTTGGCTGATGCTAGCTCTCGAGGCCGAATAGGCAATGCACAAGTTGTGCGGACATTTGCCTGGAGATGCAACACCGTGGAGCCTTCACCCCGTTAAATTTGTGTGCCCCAAAAGTGGCGTTCTGCAGGCTAAAGCGTTAATTTTGGCGCAAAAAGGTTTGGCAGGACCGCGCTTATTACCAAACCTTGATAGGCAGAAGCGCGCTTATCGGGGAAGATTCTGCAGACCCAGTTTCTGGCAATTTAACGCCTGCAGAACAGCGCCAATGTCTGCATCATTCATCCACCGTAGCCCATCCGCGCTGATGCGCCGGCCGAACAAAGCCAATCCATGGCTCGTAGTTGATTCGTGTGAGGCAGCGTCCGAAAACGAAATTCGTGATTCCTCGTAGACGAAGGCCCTGTTCGGCTGACGTTATGGGCGTTATGGCCTTTTTAACGGGCCTCGAAAAACGCCGGGTCGAAATAATGACGAAGCCAAAATGCACTAGCTTTGTAACTTCGGAATAACGGGGTTGAGTGTTCGGCATGCGTTAACAATGATGGCGTTATGGGTGTCACACTTTATATTATTTATATTTGTAACTGCCTGTAGCTGTAGTTAGTGTAGTTATTATAAACCTAGTTTGGTGGTGCACCTTCATTGTTTCCTATGCTATATGTTCTTTGAAACCTATAGTGAAACCGCTCTTTCCCAACTTACCCTTGGCACGACCTTCTCGAACTCGTTGGCCTAGGCTACTAAGCCTAGGCCGTCCTATTACCTACCAAGCTCGTATCTTAACAATGGGCACTGAACATCCGAAGAGGCCAGAGTGTATCAAACATTGTATATGTTACTGTTCTGTAGGCTATAGTGGGCTTAGCCTTAGGGGGTACAACATTCTAGAGTTTTCCTACTTGTACTCCCAATCTTGCTAGTCCAACCACTTCTCTCATTTTGACATGGTATTACGAGCCTAGGTTAGGAACCTAGGACCACCTACCTAAGGGCCCACTGTTCCGCTAGGAGCGCCCTCAAGCACCCTATCGCCTTAGCCCCCTCGTGCGCCTCTCTGTTAGTGCGCCCTCGTGCGCCTCTCTCTCTCTCTCTCTTGCTGCCCGTGCGCAGCTCGCTAAGCCCCGCGCGCGGCCTTTTTTTTTTTAGCGCGCGTAGCCCGCTAGCTGACCGCGCGCGGCCCGAGTCGCGCGCGCGCGTCGCTTGTTAGCCGCCAGCACGACCAGCGCCGCCCACGAGCAGCCCGCTAGCCGCCCGTCGACCGGCCCTACTGGCCGTCCAGCGCGCCGCAGCCCCGCCCGTAGGCCGCCGCGTAGCCTATGTAGGCCGCTGCCCGCGCGCGATTGCAGCCTACGCACAGCCGCGGCCCGTACGCTACAACCGCTCACGCGCAGGCCCACCGTCGCGCCGCGCCGCGTAGCCTAGTCCGAGCCACGCCGCGCCGCCCTGACCGAGCCGTGCCGCCCTACTGTGCACCACCTGCAGCACCTACTGTTCCTGTTCCTACTACTACAGCGGCTACTGCTATTGCTCTTACTGCTACTGCTGCTACTGCTACCACTG